TATAGCATGGTAATAGGAGAATGTGCTCATCGGAAAGTGAAGTGCTGATGATGGTATGGAGCCTGGAAGCCTAATGCGTTTGTCCACAGCTAATTGAGCTGCATTGATAATATTTATTTGCCATGTACTTGGTTTCAGATGTAGACCGTAGAGGTAAACTAACTTAAAAATCCATGAAAATAAATGTCTAAAATACAATAATATATGCTCTGGGTAAGGACATGGATCTACGGTATTGATTCAATGTTCTTACTGAGCTCCTCCAGCTTCTTCATTCTCAGCCTCTCGCTTTCAGTCAGCATCTGTTGAGAAAACATGGCCAAAAAAGGTTCAAAGGAAAAATGTAATGAAGTAAAAGGCCAAAAAAAGGGCACATTTGAAGGAAAATATGGGTGTTTGTCATCACCTCCGTTAAAGTGGTAACCAGCTGTGCCTTTTCTTTGTTCTTTTCGTTGAAAGCTTCCAGGGCTTCTTTATATTCTTTCTCCTGCAACCAAGCAGAAACCCAACTTGAGTTGCGCATTGAATCTTCATGCTTTTCAGTTGTATTAAATATACAGCTCCAGTTCGAGTGAAAAATACATAGAAAAGAAAAGGGAAAATGATGCACCTTCTTCTGGCAGCTCTGTCCAAGAGGCTTTAGCTCCCTGTTAGTCATGTCAATCTTCTTTCGTACCATGGCAACTTCTTTCCTTAGAGGATCAGACAGCACTTCAAGTTCCTAAGAAAACATTCGAAACCAAATGAAGATGATCTGTTACAATATCAAAACAAAATCCTTTCCGGATGCATTCATGTAAATGGGGTCTTGGCTGTTTTGTGGAAACTTACTTCCCAAATCATTGACAAGCGCCTTGTTTCCTCCTCAGCACGACCCAGCTGCATCTCAACTTTCTCTTTCACTTCCATCTTTTTCCTTTCAATCTCTTCTTCCTTAGCTTGAAATGTGGAGATTGCCAATCTAGAAATCTCCTCATCCTCAATATTTTCTTCCATTGACGACCTCCCACTGCTGCCCATGCTTCCCAAGTTCTTCATTTTCTGCATAATTATCCCAAGAGGACCAGGTTCCTAGCAGCATCTAGCCCACTTCAACAGGGCTCATGTCTACCCTTTTTGTATGCACCAATCCCCCCTCTTGTTTTTTGCTTTTGCTTTAAAACTCTCTCTCTCTCTTTCATGATCACTTGCTTCCTTTTCACTAAATTCCAAAGAAAGCAACAGAATCCCAAGACTGCTCTCAAGGCACAACTTGCTTTCCTTTGACAGTATCTCTACTCACCAATCTTTTGGTAAACATTCTTTAACATTTGAGGCATTTTCAGTCTCTTGTACTATCTTCAACACTAAACTCGGCTAAATTTCACAGCTAAAGAATAATTGGTTACTGACATTTGCTCGTCTTGAATGAGGAAATGTCCAAAGTGAAGTAACTGCTTACTTAAGAAATCTACATATATCTAAAAATAGAAGTGGGAAACAATCTTGATTAAGTGAAAAGAAACTAGCACAACGTGAAATCCCATGGTTGAATGACATTGATGTTAATTGGTGGTTCAACTATGTTTCTTTTTGTCTCTTAAGGAGAGGTGAGGTGGTAATTGAACTAGTTCGGATTATTTTGAGTTTGAGCTATTCTAAATTCGAATTGTTTCAGATTTAAGTCAAGTTCGAGTGGGTTTGATGTAATTTTAGATTTTACATGAGATGTAACCATTTCAACATGAACTAAATATTTAACTCCATAGATTAATTTTTTTAAAATAAACTTTTTATATAATGAAATAATTTTTTTAATTATATATTTTTGTATTTAACATTGGTAAACAAAGATATTGATGCAACATCAACTGGTTTTAATTTTAAAAAAAAATCAATTAGTTTGAAATGGAGTAATTACAAGGGTGAACTTTTTTCTTCTTTTTGGTATATGATTGAGAGGTGCTAACTATTAATAGTAAATATTATTCATTTAAAATAACTTTAGAAAATTTTAAAAAATTGATTATAGAATATTATGATATATTAATCTTTAAAAGAATCAATGTCATGCACTGTCATGACCCAATCTCGGGCCGTGACTGGCATTAGGGCCAAATGGACATAGCCCACTAAGCTCACACAAGCCTCAAACATATATCACTCGTATCAGTCCTCATAAAGGTGCCTGGTCACTAGATAAACGCCCACCTTTCATTTCATATTTTTATACTTACAGTATCTACAAACTTACACAATTATGTGCTATAAGCTTCCATCATGTACTCACTCATGTCATATACAAAATCAATTATCATTCTCCATTTTGTGGCTAAATCATAGTGTACTAAACACTCACACATATATGACAACCCACATGTATATACAGAAAACCAGATAACTAAATGACCAGACGACTAGCAAAGTGACTTTGGGTGAGGAGATAACTATTGAATGCCATGGTTTTGAACCTACCAAAAGATGTACGAGGATCCCTTTAGAGTATCTACGACCCAACTACCTTCAAATTTGAAAACTTGCAATTTAAAATAGTGAGTATAACTCAGTAAGGAATGTTTGAGGGGAACAAGCAAAAGGCGTGAAAGAGTTTATAAACAATGCTATTTTTTCTCTAAAATCATACAATTTAGATCAAAATCATCAAATCCATGATGACATAGTGATATCTCTCTTGTAAAATAGTTATGTCCATTGAAAACTATCTTTTTCATAATTAGTTAAGTGTTAAATACAAGTGGGAAAGCATTCCCATAAACAAACCAACCATAAACAATCATTTATCCAAAAACAGAGCACAAGTCTTGATACCCTTACAAGAGGTATTGATACGTTTGATCTAGAATACCTTAGTAACTCATTTTGAGTAACAAGTTCTGATACCTTCTTCAAAGGTATCAATACTTCATTCGTAGTTCTGCATATTTTTGTGGTTTTCAACTACTAGAGACCATTTACATCATTTCATTCCTTAGCTCAAACTTGTCATTTCTATTAGAATTCAGCATCAGCATGATTGAAGTACACTTGCACAGTTTCCATACTTTTCCATGGGACTTACCAATCATGGGATAGTGGTATTTTCCCTTCCCTACCAAAAGAATCAATTTATTCCGTGGGACCACTCAACCATGGGATACTAATAGTTCCCCCTCACTATTAAGGAACTCGTAACATTCCTAAATGCAGGATAGTGATATTTCCCCTTCAACATCAAGGGGCACAATGTCATTTTCTAGTGTTACGAAACCCCATTCTTAGATAAAGGTTAGAATCATAACCTAACTTGGTGAGCTAGTGATTTAACGTTTCTAAAATCATTTTCACTTTAGAAATGTATATTTTATTGAACATATAAGTTTATTTTGGAATTGGAGTCTTTTGGGTCAAAAAGATTGATTTTTTGGACTTAAAATTGCATTTTGGAGTGTATCTATCGATACATGTTTATCATGTATAAATAGATCAACCCAAAAACCCAGAAATTCAAAATATGATGAACATCTATCAATGGATGACCAAATTTATTGATACATAGACTCGATCTCACGATAAATGATGTTTAAACTGAAAAAAAAGGGTGTTTTGGTTGTTTTACCCCTCATTTAAAACCTTTAAACCCTCAGACTTTTCATAAAACAACAAAAACTTGGTTTTATCTAAAAAAGACAACCACCTTATGCTCTCAATTTTATGTTTCATCAAATTAAGGGATTTTGAAGAGAAAAAGTGATTTTCAAGAATAGTTCTTCATTCTAAGAACTTTGAAAGGTAAATACTCCATTTTTAATTGTTTAATCTTAAGCTTTGATTTCCAAAAATTTTATAAGGTTGTTGAAATTTGTTTTACTCTAGAAATCTAGGATTTAAAGTTGCTCTAACTCTAGCTTATAGTTGATTTAAATCCTTAGGTTTGAGGTTAAATTAGATGCTAGATTTTGGATTAAGCATTGTTGGAAAATTTTGAGGAATGATTTACTAATTATTAGCTTAGAAAGACCATGTATTAATGTTGGAAACATTGTGTTAGGTTTTGTGAAGAAGATTTAAAGTTGTAGGAAAAGTGAGTGTTTACGAAAAGTGCAATAGAGCAAGAAACATTTCATTGAGGTGGGTGGATGCAACATTTTTAATTATTTTGTAATAAATAAGCATGTCAATCCTTTTGCCTTGCATATAAATGAGTTTTAACTATGTTTGTATGGTGAACAAATGTTTTCAAGGATATTTGCAAAAACTATAGACTAGTTATATATAGTCTGCTGTATGGTACTTAAAAATGGGGAACAAGCCTTTCAACATGTTTATGCCTCAACATCTCATTTGTGAATGGTTGATGTCTGACGGATGAATTTTTAAAGATGCATGATGAACGTTTTCTCTTTATTGATGCCGCGATGCTTGTGGTTAATTATTGTGAATGTAGTCATGATTTTTTTTTATAATTGGGGGAAAGAGGATTCGAACCTAACTCTTCAAGTAGGGGATCATGCACCAATTAATGAGCCAAATGCTTGGGTGCATTGTAAATGTAGTCATGGTTGTTGAACTAAAGATTACAATTATTTATATTGATGAATTATGTTGTTCCTTGGATTATTATCCATTGTATGTTGAATCATGCATTGTGGTTGTTGAAGCCTATAGGTATAAGGACTTGTAGCTAGTGGCAAGAAACATTAGCCATTGTGCACAATGAGAAGCAACTTGAGCCAGTTGAGAATTTTCAGGGACTTGTTGTATTGGTAGCTAACGAAGTATTAGCTTTTTTATAAATTGTTGTCGACCATAGAGTAATGGACTATTTGGTTCTAGTGTGACAACACTAAGTGATTTGATTGTCCTTGGTTAGAGCTCCATTTTACTTGATTCAATGTCTAATGTGGTGATTTAGACTAAGTATTATGATATGAATGTCGAAGGTGGTGATTTAGAGTAAGTATTAAGTAGTGAATGTCTAATGTGGTGAATTTGATTAAGACATTGATGAATTCTTTATTGAGGTGGTTTATTGTGTTATAGCTATTATAAATTTACTATATATATGTTGTATACTTGTCTATGGTTGATATATAGACTTAGTTGAGGTTCTAGTGATGAGTTTTAGATTAAATTTTTACCTCTGTAGCTAATTAATTGGTACTTGTTCTTGAAGTATCAATAGATTCAATACAGAATCTTCAGAATTGTATTTTGTCTTCTATTTATAGATAGATTCCTCAAATCTATCGATAGATGTGGTCATCAATTGATACATTGGTCCTATGTATCTATATATCAGGAATATTTTTGAAACCAAATGTTTTCAAAAGCTTTTCTAAGGAATAACTGATTTCATTTTTGAAATTAAGTCTTGAGAATGCCTAAATTATGTTTCAACATTCTTGAAATAATGTTTTAATCAAACTTTTGATTGACTTTGAAATTTTTCAAACTTTTTTCTAAAAAGGTTTATGAACTGTTTTACAACTATGTTTTATAAAAGGAATTATCCATCCTTAAGCCGGTTGAAAGACATTAGTCTTGGAGTGAGTAAGAAGTATATGATTCTTAAGGACGCTTGAAAGATAATGAATTCTAATGTTATGGAATTGGTTGGGCTAACAACTAGTGATTGTTGACATGTCGGTACAAAGAGATGTCAGGTGAAGATGCTTAACAAGCAAGACTCAGTTTGTATTAGTGCCTAAAAAGGTGAGTTTTGCAGATATTGATTTATTTTCTATTTGCATATTTCTAAAAGTGCATTTTTTTTAAATACTTTGCTCCATTTGCTTACTCCCCTTCTCGGCATCTATTCACAGTGTTTTTGTGACTCATACATTATTACCCACTAATTTCTTTCAGATCAATAGATTACTTGGCTTACTGTCCATTTGGGAGGAGCTATCTTTTGTGGTTGATCTAGTAGGTGATCGTTATGGCATCCAATAGGCACAAGCCCTTTTATGGTGTCGTACTTCGCTAGTGAGTTTATCATTATGTTTTGGACCATTATAAACTTGACTTGTTTATGTCATGCAACAATTAAAACTTTGTAATGATTATGATTGAATATTTGGCAATGAAATGGCCTATGGGTGGTATCCGCCACAAGATGGTCGATGCCTGAATTTATGTTGCTTCCACAGTGTTAAGCACGTGAGC